GGGGTCCATAAAATTCCCCCTGCAGGGTGCACTGCATCTTCCATTTCTCCACAACTTGTATGTCTCATGTTTTCTTTGAACTCCTCTGTTGGAATACTGTATTTAGCTTGTGTTTTCTTTCTTCCTAAAATAGATCTGATCCTGACACTGAGCTAAAAACACCTCAATTATTTAATTGTATCCTGTAAAGTTAGCTTTTTGGGTCATGCTAAGTGACAAACCTGGAGAAATTTCTAAACGTAGTGGCAACTGGTTCCTGTGATGGTGTTCTTTGTAACTAAAATGTGCCCTTCCAGAACTTTTTTATTTAGGAGACCGACTAAATCAAGTGTAGCGTGTTACGTCTTTGATCCTGTGTTGGAGAATTTAATGCAAATTCTGCTGAAAGAGCACAGGGAACTCCCCTGCCCACTTTATTATTACTGTCATCAAATTTGATGATTTTTAATGATTCTTTCAGCATAACTAGTCTTTCAAACTCTAAATAATTTTTGGTTTGGTAAGACAAATCTTAACCCCTCTCCTGTAATAACATAGTTACATTTGGTTTTGTTTTCGCAGGATATTTTTGTGAGCCTCTCACAAGTGGATGGGATGTACTTTGTCTGCAATATTGATGACTTTAAATTTCTAGCAGATATGATTCAGCACATTCCACTCAATCTGCGATCACGATATGTCTTTTGCACTGCACCCTTGAACAGAAAAGAGCCTTTTGTGTGTACCACTTTGTTGAAGGTCAGCTATTTTTTCCCTCAAGAAATGTGTTTATGTTGGACCAAAAGGGTTTTGGTGCACTGGGACTGTATCTAGCTGCTGTATTTGTTGTGGGCTTTGCTATCGATCATTTGAGAGCATTCTTAAAGTGCTCACAGGTAGTATAAGAGATATAAAATAGCCAGACATGTATTGAATTCTTCACTGTTTTTGTTTACCAAGGCTTTTAACTTCTGAAAACTGGTTCTCATGATGGAAGTTAAAGTTTGGATAGCTTCTCTGCTGTCTGCCTCTGAAAAGCCTACTGCTGGTCCTTGTCTGTCAGCTCTGAACTGGGAGGGATGACAGTTGTGTTCCCTAGTCACTTGTGCACTGTGAAGCTTTGCACTACCGTGTTCCTAAAAGCAGTCATTAAAAACCAAGTTAGTGCTCCTTTGAGCTGTTAGCTTGCCAGCAGAAGGAGAGAATGTAGGATTAAGGGTGATTGCTGAGGCTATAATACAGTTACGTAGAATTTAAACCTCAGAAAACAGAGCTGTAAGTTGCTCTCAGAATTATGTCACTTTACTTTTCAGGCCAGGATGAATTGTTTTTTGCTGTGCCCCAGGAGTCACTACTTTGAGGGATTTGTAGTCAGCTGATTTTTTCAGTTTTGCAGGTTTAATATTAACGTCACTTGGGACTGTTACTTTGTTATACAGTATTGCCATTTGTCATGGTTTGACGCTGGCACAATGCCAGCGCCCCATGAAAATACAACTTACCAATCAAATGCTGTGAAATGTGATCAAGGACAGAGCAAAGCAGGCCAAACTTAATAACAAAGGAAAAAGCTTTATTACACTACTACTACTACTACTATAAAAGGAAAAGAAAGGAAAGAAAAAAAAAACCACACAAAATTCGAAATGAAAACCTTCCAAAACATTTCTCCTCCCTCCACCCAACTCCACCAAACCCCAGCGAGACCCATTTGGATCCTTAATCAAGTTTTCACCCTTCAATATAATCAATACTGAGTCCATCGGGGAAGAGAGGAGTCCCCCTTGCACCATAGACCCCCAGGAAACACAACTGCCACCTCTTGTGTTTCCAATGTCACACGTGGCACTGCCGAGACACACCGAGCCAGTGTGACACTCTCCTCTCCATGTCACAGTGCTCTCACCACCGTGCATGGACAGAGACTGCTTATAGGGCCCCTTTAAGGATGCTCTGCCAAGGACCATCAGGAACAACAGTCCAGTATCACAATTCGGGACTAGAGTCCCCCCCATTTTCCCCTGGGGCCGAGGGTCCAAAAGACAGAGATCGCCTTCTCTTCTTCTCTGAAGATGGAGGGCATCCTCACACCCTCTTCAGCTCTCTCTCTGTCCACTCCAAAACTGGTAGTTGCTGCAGAAGGTCTCTTGGCTCACCAATGCATCCCCCTAAAATGCAGTCCCTCTTGAAAGAAAGAGTGGTTCAGTCTATGGTAAACAAGAAGAGTCCAGCCAAAAAGCCACTCTATCATCTGCCCCCAACCTTCTTCTCTAAACATCTGAGGTTTCAAGCTGTCTCTCTTTTCTTCAAATTCAGGAGGAGTAATATTTCATAAAGCCTTCATTTCTCAGGAAGGGTTAAAAGTCCCAACTCCCAAGGATGGCTCGCTGCCCAGGCTCCAGCTCCCACAGCCCGGCTGGGCACCTTGCGGCCCCCCCGCTCTTCTCCTTCCCTGCGGCGAACTGCCGATAAAACCACCGAGTCTCTTTTTTCTCTCTTGGGAGAGAGAGAGACTCTGGGGGGGGAGGTCCGTATCATGCGATGACCGGAACCCAAGAGAGCGAGTCCTCCTGGGAATTCCGCTTTTAACCCCTCTGTGTTCTCAGAGGCGTGTCCACCTTCAATTGGTCACCCCAAGTGTCAGTATCTAAACCTGACTCCTGACTGGATGAACCTCTTCCTTCTAAAAAAAAATTCTCTTCCCGTGTCAAACCATGACACCATTGTTCCCTTTTTAAAGACTGAATTAAACTTTAAAAATGAAATAGTATAAAAATGAAAGTGATGTGGTGCCCTCATGTCACAAATATTAGAACCCTGCTAATAGTCTTTAAAAAATGAGTGATTGATTAAAGAGTTGAAAAAAGTGCTTCATTAGGAAAACACTGAGCTTTTGGATTCCAAGTAGTGAAGGTGCAGAGGGGCATAATGTAATGTTAGAGGGAGGTAGGCTTTTGTGAATGCTTGTGTGAATTTAAACCTCATTCCTGGGTGAAGAAAATCCACTTTACTATTGGCCAGCTAGGAAGCACTTATTCCAAGTCATCAATACTCTTGAAAATTTTGGATTTAAATCTTACTTGACTTGTTTTTCTGTTAGTTGAAGCGCTGAGGTATCTAGGTGTCAGAAGAGTGGATTTCTAGTGCAGATTAATCTGTTTGGTTTGTAGATAGTGTGTTTCCTAAACCAGGGAATACATTTAGTATTCTAAACTCTGGCAACCCTGAAACAAGATAATTAACCAAATAGGAGAAGGAGGAGGATTAAAAAAGACACAAAGTCCATCTGCTTTGCTAGATGCAATCAAATGCCTTCAGTGTTACACTTTTCTGGATAGCTCTGTGCTTTTGTTGCTTAACTCTGTGCATGGCCCATGGACAAATTGTGTTAATGAGGCCCTGGAAAGGAGAGGTGACTCTTGTGTTGAGTAATTAAGTAAAAGAATGTGTGGCATTTGGGTTGTGTAAAACAAAGCAGGTATTTTATGGCTTATTCTATGTGTACAGACTCTGGGGAATTTAACTCTTTGGGGATTTCTTCTTTCCTGCCTGAGGACTTGAGTTAATCTGCTTGTTTTTCAGTTTGCACGGCAGTTCAGTAGAAATGAGCCTCTGACGTTCGACTGGCTCTGCCGGCACACCAAATGGCCTTTAGCTGCTCCAAAAAACATCAAGGAACTTGTACACCTTGAAGCTGTGCATGATGTTTTTGACCTCTATCTGTGGTTAAGGTACTGTCTTTGTACTTTAAGACTGTTTATTTTTTCCTATTATTTATGACTTACAGTCCTAGAAGTCCAGTGTCTTCAGGCCCATATGTATGTGGTGCAGGATGGGCTCCTTTGGCCTTTTAGAGGGTCTTGACAAATGCAATGTTGAGAGAGCAAGTTCTGCAGACAGCAGTTTGTGACTGACAGAAGGAGAAAGGTAGAAACAAGGACTGGAGCAGCTGAAATGCAAATTAAAATATGTATTCCCATGCAACATGTAATGAATATTCTTTTTACTTAGTACATATCCCATTTTTGTCCCAGTGAGAAGGTTTAAATGTGTGTTCTTTTCCCTCTCTTCAGTTACCGCTTCATGGATATGTTCCCTGACGCTGTCCTTGTAAGGGATATCCAGAAAAAACTAGATGACATTATACAAATTGGTGTCTGCAACATCACAAAGCTGATCCGAGCTTCCCAGTCTGCGGCTGCTCCTGGCACAGCTGAAGTCGTGTCAGAAGACTTTCCTCTCTCAAGGACTCAGAGGGATGCCAGGGTGGTGTCAGACCGTCACGGTGGCACAGAGGCACTGTCCATTGCAGTGGAGGCTGCAGGGCTGAGAAGAGCAAAGAACCTGAGATCCCCTCGGCTCGGTGGCAGGCAGGAGGATATGAAAAGCTATGGACGTGGATCTCTTGCCAACAGATTGCTGCGGGAGGGACTTCTGACACAGGAAATGCTGAGACAGCTGGAGAGTGAGTGGCAGGATCAGCACAGGAATGGTAGATATGGCTTTGGTTCAAAAAGAGATGACCAGCATAGTTCAAAGGCAACGGGAAAAAAGAGAAAATAGAACTATGCCCTAATTCTGTTTAGTTTTTATTCATAAAATAAAATACTATTTTAATAACTTCTTTGGCATTTCATGTTTACACTGCTGGAGCTCCTTGATACTTTTCCTTCTCCTGTGACTGGTAATGTGAAGTACTCAGAGAACTGGACTCTTAAAAGCTCAGAGGCCATAAGTTTGTTTTAACCACTCAGCTGTACACTCTTAATCATGGTGTTCAGCATCAGTGTATGATCTACTGCTATGTAAAAATTTGAATTTGGTGTCTTCTTGCAAGATATCCTCTCATCATCAATAAATGTCAGAAATTTCACTAGTAATGAATTAGCTACTCATTCCAACCCTTCCCAAAGGACAGAGTTTAACAGACCACAAACAAGTGACGAACAGCCTGGAACAAAATTGGCTCAGAATGGTGATAGGAGTCATGTGCCTCTAACCATTAAGTCCTGTGAAAACGTGTAAGGAGGTTAAAAGCATTTGTGATAATATGTCAGGAGTGGTGGAATTCTGGCCACAATAATTTTGGAGTGAATTTCAGCTCTGTAATCTGAGGAGTAATTAGGATGCTGTGTGGTTTGATTTTCGTGTGAGCAGCTTTAAGGTGTGCTTTTTGAGCTCCCAGTATGGATACTGGAGAGCGGAAAGAAGTCAGATGCTGAAACTGCTGTGTATTTACAGAAATGGGTTTCAGCACTTGCATATGTTGCTGGGCTGCCTGAGGAGAATTATGCTAGGGTTAGCTGTGTGCAAGTGCACAGGTCCTGCTTGTGTCAGTGTTGGGAAACCTTTAAGATCCAGGCTGAGTTTCATTGTCAAATACCTGATCTGAAGTGATCAAATGTGTTTCTCTGCAGGCTGAAAATTTGCCTTGAATCCCCTTTTCTTTCTCATGGTATCAGTTCTTTATACTGCTGTTCAGAAAGAAATCTGCAGCAGTTTGAAAAATGTTTTTACAGCAGTTTTCAGTATAGTTCATCTACGCTTTCCTCATTGTTTACTAAAAAGAAAGCAGTGTGTAAATGTTTCTAGTCCACATGATCTCCTGCTACTTTCAGTACAGTACTGGTGGGAAGAGAAAGTTTTAGGTCCTTTCCCTGCCAGATCCAGGGTGGATGTACAAATGACTGTTTGAAACCACCTTGGTTGTTGTTTTCTCTGCCCAATATGTATGAGGTTGGCTTGTGGGAGACCCGCACTGATATTGTGCTTTGTTTCTGTTAGGCTGAATTTGTCCTTCAGTCATACAGTAAGCTGAGTGCTAGTGTATATTTCTGAGCAAGGAGAGAGTGTCTGGGACTTCAGGGTGTAAGCCAGCCTTGTGTTTCAGCACCAAGCCTTGCAATAAAGAACCTAAGTGACTACAAGCATTCTGTTTTGTGTTTCGCTGAGATTAGCACTTTGCTTAACTCACTGCTTGTTTCCATAGTGACTCCATAGTAACTGTTTTAGAAGCTCTGAAGTTTATTCAGGCATTTCCAGGCTGACTTTATGAAAGTTTTCTTTTCTTCTGAGCTAATGATGTGGCTGTCATTGACTACCATTAGAATGGCTGCCAAATTGGTCCCATGTGGTACAATCTGGACTGCTGTGTTGCACTTACCCCAGCTACCCATTTTTAACCTGCCTTGTGGGGCTCTGCTGAAGCTTTATTTTTAAACAACAACAACACTGTTCTCTTGATCTGGGAATCACCTTTGCAAAACTATTTCAGGTGTTCAGATTTCCAGATTATTTTAAATATCAAAATTAGAGATGTTTGGAAGTTTATTCATTAATTGTTTATTTGCTGTCCTTCAAATGTAAGATGCTGATTGTAACAGCACTGCTTGGTAAAATCCTTCTGTCTTTTAAGCCCAGTATGCTCTGTTCTGTCTGTGCTGTTTCCATCTCTATTCTGATTTTTCCTGTCAGTCCCCTCGGGTGTTCTGCCTTACTTTATGTCCTGATGTTGCACTAGGGGTGGCGTATGCAGGAAGAATGAATATAGGGACCCATTTCTCTCCTGAGCTTTGATGAACCTTTGGGAATATAATGGGGGAGGAACGTGCTGCTACTGCAGGGAAGGGGGAATGTGTTCCAGGGGTTGGTCTTGGAATCATAAACTACAACAAAGAAGGATTTCCCCTGATGATATGCTAGTAGCCTTGTCCACTGTCTCCTTGTTAACCTGGATACCAAATTTAGCAGCCAGCATTGCTACTGCCTTTGATACCTCAGCAAAGATATATGAGTTTATCTGCAATAAAATGGTTATTGATACGGTACCTCTTTCTGGAGGTAACAAGGGCACGTTTAGCTGATGTACTCAAGACTTTCTCATGAGTTTCCCCATTGTAGCCAGGAGCTCTTTTTCTCTGCAGGCCTTTGACTGCAAGTCTGTGGGAGGCAGATGAGCACGACTCTTCAGGATTCTCTATTGTGCTCTGAAGATGGGGTTTGGAGGCAGAACTGCAGGAGAAGAAAGTACAGAGGGAGGCATTACAATTTTAAAGTCTTGTTGGCCCTTGCAATACAGAGAGGGAAGGTTTATGAGGCTAACAAAAGGGAAAACCAATATCGCCTCAAGCTTCCAGGCTGCATGCAGTCGGAGCTGATCTGTTCTCTGGGGTCTGGACTAGCTCCCCTGTCCTGGCCAGATACATATAAAGTGGCTGTAACCTTTTTGGGTGTTGGCCCCATTGAACTGCTGTCTGTGTGGAAATGAGATCATGTCTTCTCTTGCACAGGAAGCTGGGATGCACCAAGGGTGAGTGAACAAGTTACACAGTGATTCTGACATGTCAGGTATTTCACAGAGCCTGCTGCCAGTTTAGGAACATTTAGATCTTTGAGACCCTTTTCCAGTGGTGTTCAGAGAAAGAAAGAAAAGAGAGAATGAAAAATAAATCTACTATATTACAGACACAATGAGCTCTGGATCAAAGTGGGATGGAGCTTGAAAGGTGATGTTTTCAGTTTTGCTGGCCAGAGGGGTTGTGACTCGGATGGCATGGGTAAACAATGAGGAGAGTCCCTTTGGGAGTCAGTGTCTGACTTAACGAGCCAGCAGTTATTAAAAGATGAATAGAGGAGAAGTGAACCATGCTTTCTGGCTGGTAGTGTGGTTTATTTTCTTCTTTCTTTTCTCTCTTTCTCTCAAAGATCAAAGGCCTAATTTTAGAACAAGCCCTATTTATGGACTGCTCAGCCACTCTGTCTGTTTTACTCTTGTTCTAGAATAATGGAAAATAAATAGAGCTGGCAGGTTCTCCCAGGGTCCAGAGCTCATCCCTGATGCAAAGCAGGAGAAGAAAAAAAGAAAAAGACCTTTCCTAGCAGAAGTTCTGTATGATTTGTCTCTGCAGAGGGTGTTCCCCTCCCTCAGCTCTTTCAATCTTTCCTTGTGATCAGAAGCTGAAAAAATGTGACCTGTGACTGCTTCTGATGTTCAGCAGAGCTAACTCCTCCTGATCCCTGCTTTCTTAACTTGCCATAGCTGACAGGACTGGGCAGACTTGTCTTTCCAAGACTGGTGCTGAGTATGGAGCTGAGTGCTGGTTTGTGTGCCTCTGGATTGTCCTCCTACAGAGGAGGATACAGACCACCATGATCAGTTGCACTTTTTTTCTTTTTACAGTAGCATGAGATGATGTTGCCAGACATCCTTTTTACTGACTGGCTGCCTCTGCCCTTCTCTAGATCTCTAGACAATTCCTACTGCTCAGTAGTTCTTGGTGTTTCCTCACATTACTTGGCACTCCCCTCCCCCTTTCCTCTTCGCCCCCTGCTGTTTTTCTGATCTATCAAAATAATTTTTAATTGTTATCTTGTTCTGAAAAATTTAGGGTGACAATTGTCTACAGTAACTGCTCAGTTCAGCTAAACAGTAACTGGGGAAAAACAATTGTGTGTAGGTGTAGTTTGAGAGTGAGCCTCTAATTACCCCATGAGAATGCCTTTTTTTTTTTTTTACTTCATCTCCTTTGTGTCAGCGTTTCACCGAATTTTCTTGGGATGATGTTTTCGTACTCCATATCACTTGATACAGTGACAAAATCCTAGAAATGCTGGTGTATTTAGAATGAATTTGAGAGTGGTGGTTAAAGGCTGTGTCAGAATCTGATGGTGTAAGGAAGCTGCTCTTGCTGTAGGTCCTCTGTGCTGCCAGTCTGATACCCAACTGCTGCCTGCCAGGTAAATCTGTCCTGTCCCCAGGTTTTGCAGTACTGAGGATATTCACTGGTCTGCAGCTTTGGGAGAAGGGAGAAGAATCAGTCCAAAACCTCTCTGCTGGGAATTGTGCAAGAGGCATTCCAGCTGGGGGCAGGGGTCTGTGTGCCTCTGCTCTTTACACCGCTGAAGCTTAATTGGTACAAAGCTGCAGATACGGGTGCACTGTGCAGAGCCAGAGTGAAGTTAATCCATGCAGAAGAGCTTGTCTCACGAGTGGGAGTGCTGAGCAGAGGGAAGAAGTCTCCTAAAATCGTTCGCCTTTCCAGATTCCCGGCAGTGGTGGGAGCCTGGCAGCCCCTGGAATGAAGCGGTGCAGGCTGCGTAGCAACTGCATTGAGGAGTGGTAACAATTCCCAAGTGGGGCAGTAACAATATCGATTTTTCTCCCCTTCAGCTTGGCAGCTCTCCAGGTGCCTGCTCTGGCACAATGAAGAGTGGAGCTGGGGAGGGAGGGACTTCGGGTTGATGGGGGGGTGTGATACAAAGAGGCAGAAGTTTAATCACTGACCTGATCACGCTGGATGGATTTATTTCTGGACTCTATTTCCCAGGAATTCTGCTATTCCACAAGGGGGAAAATGCCTCTGCTGAAGTTTCTGTAGCTCCAATTTCGTGAATAAAGATCAGTCGCTTTGGAGTTATTCACAGCAGCTCTGTCATTACTGACTCATCTATCTGCTTCAAGAAAATGTTGGCTGTCCACTTGCTAGCTTTCCATTTCACAAAGCTAAAAGAGGATCAAATAAAAAAGGTAAGTTTCAGCGTTAGCTGATTGCTATTTTAAGAACTGTGTTGCCCAGATACGGAGGGGTCTGCAGTGCGTAATGCAGACCATATAATGGCATTATCCACTAAAACCATTCAGCCAAACGGGGTAGGAGGTATTTAGACCTTAAACCACCTGGCAAGTGTGAAAATAGGTCTGGTTAGTGGTTTTCTCTGCACTGTTACAAGTGGTCTCCTCGTAATGGAGCAAATTCCCTTCAGTAAGGGAAAGTATTTAGGCTTTTTCTGGCATGGTGTGGAAGAGCCTGGAGGACAAAAAGGGTGACTCTTGCTGATTTGCCTTGCAAGTGTATTGTGAATGATGGGATTTCTCAATCTGAGCAGGAATCGGGAATCAGTCACATAGCAGGGATAGGGAAAACCCCTGTGGTCTTTGGTCTGGGTCTGCTGAGATTCAGGAGAGATTTCCAGCTGGTGTTGATGTTCCTGTGCCTTCTCTCTGGTTCAAAACTGGCTAATCACTCTGATGTTTATAGGTGTGACCTTTGATTACAGTTGGAAAAGCTCGAGATGGCTCAGATCTGGAGCTGTCAGTACTGGGCGTAAGCTGTCTAATGGTTGCTCTTCCCTAATCTGCTTTCATGGCCATGCTGAAATGCGTCTGTGGGCTTATGTCCATCATAAGACCATGTGAGATCTGTAAACTTCATGAGTCAGAGTTCCTGTCCTCTGGTTTGTGGACATGTCCCCTGCAGGTCCTCTGTATTCCTGGTGTCTTCATTGAGTGCTGTCAGGTGTCCATTGCTGCCAGGCTCCATCCTCTGGTTTTCCAGCCAGGGGCTGGAAAGGTGGGAGGTGGTCTGTGGATGAATGGTGGGAGATCCAAGGTCCTGGTGCATGGATCTGCTTCCATCACTGAGCTCATCAGCAAAGTGAGCCTCTCCAGGTTCTGTCTGTGCCCAAAACATGGAGTGGCTTGTTCCAAGGAGGGCTTCTTCCATTAATTCTGTTTTGGAGAGAGGTACTGGTATCTCAACAATCAGATGTCCCTGACTCAGTCATAGCCCTTTTATCCCTAGGATTTAGTGTGATCCAAAAAGGCCTCGCTGCCCCTCCCCTCTGTGAGCAGCTGATCTCTTATCTAGAGGTAATATTTCTTCATTCTTTTTACTAAGAAAGAGAAAGACCTTGTGGAGCAGTGCTTGGGTGCAGTGGGCTTTGCAGAGAAACATCCAGCTTGTAGTTGAGTGAGGACAGTGGAGACGAGGGAGCAGAGGAATCCTGGCAAACCCATTGAAAAAATCAAAGTCTTTCTGCAAAGTGCAAACCAGCCCTTCCTGAAGGCAAGAAACCACATGTTCCTCAGAATTCTAAGTAGTCTAGGGTAGGCTTTGCAGAATAGGGCTGATTCCTCCTTTATTAGAAAGAAGGAATGTCTTCCCACCTCCCCTCCCCAGGCTTATTTGCTCTGTGGTGGCAAAACCAAGAGCCTGCCTGCCATGAAAACAGTGCTCTTTCCATAAACGAACCAGGGCACTGTTCCTGTGCCACGGGAGGAGGGCAGCCAGTTTAGTTTAGCACAGCTTGGCCATTCCTGTGTTTACAAGTAAATGGTTATGAGAGCAGGGCCTTGCTCAGGTTGTAAATCAGGCTGGAGAGCCAGCAGGCTTTCCTGGGCTCTGCCTTATCTGATCCCTCAGAGAGGGCTGTCTGCTCCTATGGTTGTAGGTAAACAGGGTGGGGAACGCAGTGTCTGTGGGCAGCAGGGAGCTAGAGCATGTTCTCTGGCAACAGACATGGTAATTTTTATTGCTCTTGAGAGATTTTTTTCCCCCACAAGGATTTCTGTCACAAGGCTATTGGGTCTGTGTCAGACTGCATAAGTGCTGTATGTCTCCAGTCACTGTGTTTTCTCCAAAAAATCAGTATGGGTGCATAGGCTAAGATGATGGATCCTACACAGTGGTGGGTCCTCAAAACACCCTTGGAGGAAATCAAGTACTTGCACAAACAAAGGCTACAAAGACAAATCTGAATAATAGTCTTTTCAAGGCACAGCTGTATCCAAGGGCAGCTGCTGCTCTAGGAAAATGGTATGTTGTAGTTTAATACTTTCTCCTCTGTGTGTGTATTAAGTGCTGGAGTGACTTTCAGGATCCTGGCTCTTTCAGGTGGGTCATTGCTGACCATCAGTTTAAATGGGACTGTGAATAGGTAATTCGTTTGTACCTCATTAAAATAGGTAGCCAGTCCAGATTGCAGCAGAGACCAACTTATCTACAACCTGCATTGCCCTCTGTTTAGACAGTGCAGCCTTTTAAATCCTGCCATATTGTTGGTGAGACTTGGTTTGAGTCCTTCCAACCCTCCAGACCTCCCTATGAAAATGGGACTGATGAAATGCTCTGAACAGATAAAGCACCACAACAACACAGCACACAGTGCAGGAGCTGAGTGTCTGTAGTAGCAAAGCACTGGCAGCTGTCCCACCTCTCTCCCCTGCCCCCCTCCTCTGGCCCTGAGTCTCCTGTGGTGGGGAGTGGGATGCAAACACCAGTGACCTAGTGGACACCTATTTGGAGCACACCTATTGTATGCCTGCATCATGTTCATACAGCACCAAAGTCTGGCTCCCCAGTGCACAAGCTTCTGGATGTTGACAAATTCCTTTTTTTCCCTATGTTAATTTTTTGTTGTACCCATCTGTGTAGTTTCTAGGCCACACTACTTCTATTCCTGCAGGTATGGCAGTCCCATCAGCATGTGGTCCTCAAGGAAAAAACCTTTTACTTTGCCCTGATGACACTGCTCATAAACACTCATTAGCTTCTCTGCCAGTTTATCTGAATGAGCTGCTTCATAGATACTTTTGAATTCTTTTATATTCAACTGGCTTCTATTTTGATGTATCCTGTGAGTTACAGACCTTCAACAAAGGGTATTGATTGCACCCAAAAATGTGTTTTAGATGTAATCCTAGAATCACAAGAAAATGGAGAGCAGAGCCGGAGTGAGAAAAAGGCTTTGAGTTCCAGTCTGGCATGCCAACAAAGTTAATTGTCTGTGGAGTGAAGCAGCAGCTGAATAGATGTTTTTGGGTTGTGGCTGACATGCTTGGGTACTCATGGCATTTTCTGGGCCTGCCTCAGAGAGGTCAAATTCTCACCAGATTGACGTACTTTGCAGTTCTAGTTCATTACATCTCTAGCAGGAGAGGATGGTGTGAAAACAGCTTGTCAGGGTCTCAAGCAAATCTCATGGGCTTACATAGATTGTCAAGCTACTGAGCCATCAGAAAAGATGGCCAACTTTTGGGCAGTAATTCACCAGGGCTGCATAAAGTTTTTTTAGAAGAGTGAATGTCCTGATGATGAGCTGGAGCTTGTTTGCACTGACAGTCACGAGAACTTGGGTGCTGAGGTCGAAAATGCCTGCATGCCTCTGAGTGGCACCTTCCCTCCCTGCAGGTGGACAGGTACCTGTACCAGCTGCGCCTCTCCGACGATGTCCTGCTGGATGTCACAGCTCGCTTCCAGGCCGAGATGGGGAAGGGGCTGGCCAGAGACACGAGCCCCACGGCAGCGGTGAAAATGCTGCCCTCGTTTGTGCGCTCGCTGCCCGATGGCTCAGGTGAGTCCCTGCCCAGCCCTGCTGCTTCAGCAAGGAGAGCTGCTGCAGCACTCCAGGCAGCACAGCAGGCACACAGGCAGCCAGGGGCTCTGGGTCACTGCCTGAGAAAGCACATGTGCACACTGAGCCAGGGGAGCACTGGCAGAGACAGTGTGGGAATCCAGAGCTTCCCTCTGGCTGCCCTGGCAGGTCTGGGACCCTGGCAGGGGGTCAGGAACCCCCCTGGACAGAGCCCCCAGAGACACTGTCTGTGATCTCTGTCCATGGAAAAGAGTTTTCAATCTTACAGGATGAATTACAAGCTTTAAGTGTTTGATATAAGTAATAATTAAGTGTGACACGAGTGCAAAGGTAAAATTTTAGATTTCTAGATTAGGGGTTCAGAGGGGACAAGATGGAGGAATTGGGTGTGTCTTGTCCTTTTCCTCCTTCTTCATGCCCTCCATGTTTCACTGTAGTGTTGGCATTTTTCTATTGGTTCAGGCTGGGGACACACTGTCCAACGTAGGTGACAGATATTGGCACGTTATTGTAAATCCAGCACAGGTAGTTTGTGGTATTTAATGTTTGTACCATCCCACTGAGGGCAGAGCCCCACACGCTGCCCTGCAGGACAGAGCTGCGGCAGGGCAGCAGAACATGTCAGAGATAAACAGAATAAACAACCTTGAAACCAGCACAGACGAATTATGGCTTCTGCTTTGGCAGCGGGGCTGACAGACAGAGACTTTCTACAATCTCGGAATCACCAATACCCACAGATTCCGACAAGATGGTATTTCTTTGTTTGGATTCAGATGTTTGAGTTCTTATTTATATTACAGTTGTATAAGCTGTGAGTTCTACAGCACTTCACTCTAATAAGTTACGGTTTCCTCCTTGAACCAGGTGGATTTTGACCTAGAGCTGCTTGTTTGAGGAAAGGACTTAGTAAGTGCTCAGGAGCAGCTTCTCCCATCTGTTCCTAGTGCAGGCCTTGCTGCAGGAGCGGTGGCTGGACATGGCAAGGGCAGCCTCTACAGCTCAGAGCCTGCAGTGCAGCCTGCTGTGGCTGTGGCATGTCTGGCCTGCCCTTCCTGGAGCTACAGGCTGGGCAGGATGCTGCAGCTAAACCCCTCAAATGGCCAAGTGACAGCAGCATGGTATCCTCAGAGCTGTGATCCCCAGATTCTGCACTGCTTTTGCTAATTCCCCAAAAAGTGATCCCTTCTGCCCTTCCTTGCCTTCTCCATTGGGAAAATCTGCTCCTGGATGGGATCTACCAGGAAATTGCTCTGCTTTTTCAGCTGAGACTTGAATAGAGAGGGAGAAAGTGCAGTAGTGTCCTCTGTGAGGATGTGGCATGAGATAGGAACTAAAAGCTCATCTTGTTTGGAGAAGTATGCAGAATAAGTCCTCAGCTGGCTCCTGGCAGTGCAGCCTGACAGAAAATGACATTTTTCTCAAGTTTAACCAAGTTAATTTGTGTAGGATTCTGCGTCTCATCTAGATCAGGACTCGGTGTAAATTAGCTGTGCAAAAAACTGAAATGTCAGCTTTGTACCTTTCCACATGACTTTATTCCCTCTGATGGTAATTTCCCTGCAGTCAAATGAGGAATAACAGTTCTAATGGCATAAAGAAGGTATTTGAAAGTAAGTTCCTTGAAATGAGGCATGTCTGAGAGAAATTATACACAAGCTGACTGGATGGAAGGGAGCACTCTTCCTTTTCTGCTAGCTTTGTCAAAGAGAAACAAGTCCTTTCTTAACCCTTGCAATCTCATTGGCAGTCAGTGGTCCTGAGGTCCTCGTGGAACAGCAGGGAGCCCCTGAGGCCAGAGGACTTGGAAAATTGCATGTGGTGTCATCAGTGTTGCAAGAGTTGATGTCCCCCAAGGCCAAGGTTGGATGGTTCTCTCCTGGCCTGTGTGGCCATTCCTATGTGCCAAGGACATGCTGCAGCATCAAGCTGGGCTATATCTTATTGCCACAGTGCCTACTCTAAGTATCACATTGATTTTTCTATTTTTGCCCTCTAGAAAAATCCTTGTTGGTTATCTTGCTTCCAGACTTGTTAAAACTTCAGCAGGTTTAAACAGCTCAAACTTATTCCTCCATTATTTATTATTATTACTAACTTATTTATTATTATTAACTTTGAGATTTTTTTTGTGCCCTCAGTGTTGCTGACTGAAATGACTCATATAGAGCATCTTCAGTTTTTCATTGTTTAGGGATTATTAGTCTGACTAATGTCACAGTTTACTGAGTAACCCAATCTGCCTCCTCACCTTTGATAGCTAACCATGGTATTACAGGTAGAATTTCCTGCTTCCTTTCAGGACCAGATTTAATCATGTGGAACAAAGATCATGCAAGGCTAAGCACATATCACTGTGTTTTCCTTTTGGGAAGGGCATTTTCCTGTGTGAGTGATAAACAAATTTTACTGTAGCAGTGAGGCCAAACTGTCCTTCCATCTGAGGTTTGCTGCTGGAGATGTTTGTGTCTGAGCAAGCCTGTGAAACAAAATGCTACTTTCACAGAAACACCAAAAGGCATTTCAAAAGGATTTTGTTGGTTGACTTTGGGTGGCAAATTAGCTTTGCTCCATGTGGAATCTGACTTCTGCTCTAGAGCTCAGTCTTAACACGTCTGCAAATCCTGCATCCTCTGCTGGATGCAGGTGATGATCTCGTGTTTGATTGTCCCACACTTCAGGTGACAGTTTTGCAGCCCCTGTGTGCTCTGGTTGGTTTGCAGTTGCTTTGGGCTTTTCTTGCTGAAAAGGTCATCCTTCTGCAGCTTGAAAGTATGCTGCTGTGGAAGGAGCAGGGTGAACAAACCCGAACTGCCAAATAAAAATTGAATTAGCTATTACATAGCAGGCTAAAAGGAGACACCTGATAGCCTTGCTGAGGGTTTCCAGCTCTCAGTTTTTCTGATGCTCTCTGTTTTTCTGATGCTCCCAGGCCCATAGGATAAGGATCTGCTGGGGCAGGAGAGGCTGTGGTGAGGGAGGGCCCTGGGCTGTGGCCATCAGTGTGGCACCTTGTTGAGCCTTTGCTTTTTTTTTTTTTGTTAGAGTCAGGATTAAAGGTATTTCTTGTTTGGATTCAGATGTTTATGAGTTCTTATTTATATTACAGTTTTATAAACTGTGAGTTCTACAGCACTTTAATAAGCTAAAAAATTGAGACCTATCTCTCTTTTTACAAGGCTTTTTAAGGATAAACTGTCTAGTTAAGAAATGACACTTAAATTATTTTTACTTTTAACTTAATACCTAACTATCTGTGGCCTGCAATGTGGACTTTTTTATCTAATTACATAATACTACTTAAACTTATGAAGAAGAAGGTAAAGAAGAAGGCCTAGCTTCCCCTTTAAAATTATATCTTGGTTTATGTATATTACTGTATTCTAAAACTTTAAACTCCTAAGTTTTCTGTGATATTACACACATCTATTCAAACTACACTCTATATTACTCTGTGATATTACACACTTCTATTCAAACTACACACCTATAATTTCAATTCTACTATTTAATTTTGGAAGTCTTCTCTATGGCCATAGGTTAAACATAGTGTTCTTTGGGGAGTCAGTGCTTGTCAGCACAAGTCTAAAATTCTCAGTAACCAGGGTTCCAACAGCGCCTGAGCCCCGCTCGGGGGCCACCCGCAGTGATGGCTGTCCCTTCTGCTGCAGAGAAGGGTGACTTCCTTGCTCTGGACCTGGGCGGCTCCCAGTTTCACATCCACTGGGTGAAGGAGTTTGATGATGGGAAGCAGAGCAGCCAGCTGGAGAGCAAGTCCTACCCCACACCCAAGGAGGTCATGCAGGGGAACGGAGCCGAGGTAGGGCACCGCTGCTGCCGCCGCTGCGCCCACCTGCAGGACACGGCCCAGCTGTCCTGTCCTCTCTTCTTGTGCAGCTCTTTGATTACATTGCTGACTGTCTGTCAGACTTCATGGAGACCAAAAACCTGAAGCATAAGAAGTTACCGCTTGGATTTACGTTTTCTTTTCCGTGCAAACAGACCAAGCTGGAGGAGGTAAGATGCATAAAGAAACACTCTCGTCAAGCTGAGCTCCTTGCAGAATTTGGAGAAGCCATTGAATGTGGGTGCTACCTTGTGGCTTTTATGTGGGGTCATGTTTACATAGCTCTCTGAAGAAGGCATGGGTGACTTTTAGTATTTAACTAGACTTGACAATTCGTCACTGATTCATTTCTCCTCTCAAGGCAGCATCATCTTTAAGCTAAAGCTACTCTACTGCTCAGTCAGTACCCAATTCCACAGGAACCGTGTGCCCCTGTATTAACACTGTTAAAAATAGATGTGCACTTGTGTGTCTTGAAGCATCTTTATTTCTTTAATCACTCACAGGGTTTTTTTTGTATTTACAGTTGATTCTGAATAGGAAATATCTGTAGCTGAGCTGCTTGACACACCTCTTGGGGAAATGAAGGGCTGGTTGTAATTATTTTGTGTTCTCTCATTCTAGCCTCTCTTATTTCTAGTGATCTGTGCTTTGGGCTCCAGTCCTGCAAATGCCTTTTGCTTAATGCTATTAGACTGTGATCAGCATAGGAAAGCCACATGTGCTTTAAAATGGGAAAAACATTTACAGAATTGGGACTTTATGGCTGTACCTTTTTGGTGTGTTGGTACTGACATGTACTCCAAGGTAAGATGTTCTATTCTGACTTATTTTGGCTCAGTGTAATAATGGACTTCTCCACACACTTCAGTCTTGACTGGCTTTGTGGTTTGTGTGCTAAACTTTGTGTGCTTTTGGGTCATCACTGCACTGTTACTTTTCAGGGGGTTCTTCTTGCGTGGACAAAACACTTCAGGGTCCGAGGAGTTCAGGACACAGACGTGGTGAGCTCTCTGCACAGGGCCCTCCAGAAGCACCAGGCAAGTTTTGTACCTGCTGGAGCTGAACCAGAGAAGGTCCTCCTGGGAAATCATCTCTTGGTGTGTGGGTTCTTTTGAGAGCTGTCAGACATCCTTTAGGGATGCTCAGTAGCAAGTGCCCAGCCTGCCTGCACATCTGGTGGATCTGAATCTCTCTCACAGCTGTAGTTCAGATGGCTCTGGTAACACATGGGGAGCTGCATGCTGATAGCCCAGACTGGCTGTGACAGCTCACCAGTCTGGCCCCACTGTCTCAGCCCCAGGAAACCTCTTGTGAAACTACTGGGTGAGATATAAAACACTCAGTAATTTCACACATTGTGTTTCACAGCCTGGCTTGTTGGGATGAAGGTTGGTAGGGGGAAACTGTCATCTCAAATTGGCACACCTAACTCCACCAGGGCTTGCCTGTCTGCTTCGGTCTGTAGGATGGAGCCATCTATGGCAATTTTTAAGGTCAGCAGTAAGACATGATTAAATCTGCCCTTGAATTAGCATACAGCCTTTGAATAATACTGTGTTTTAATATATTGGAAAGTCTTGCTTTTCATGTTTGGTGCTGTTGATAATGCCAGCTAAGAAATACAAAGCATCTTTTCATATCTTGATGACTTCATAGTAAAGAGGAAGCTGCATAGCCTCAATACCACTTGAGTGTGGTATTGCTGCACAACTGTAGCTGCATTTGTGGGTGTTTTCTGTCCCATTTGGTGGGCTCTGCTCAGGTGGTAGGATATTAACCTTTCACACAGCCTGTAAGCACAGTATCACAACATTCACACCAATAATGTGCCACTTTTCTGGCAAATGAGGTGGGATTGGAGAAAAACAAATCCTTCAAGCAAAGAGGCTGGTGAAACACTTGAGAATTCAGAGATATTTGTAACCTTACAGAGCTGTGGGAAGAGTGTTGTAAAAGGAAATAGTGTCTTTCAATTGAGGAGTTTTCCTGAATGAGGCTTTCAAAGTGCAACCTGGGGAGTATGTCTGCATGCTGGTGCTTTATCACAGAGGAGCTTTCTGAGCCTTTTTCCCTGTTAATCACTCATCTTTATGCTATTAGGACATAGACGTTGATGTTCTGGCACTGGTCAATGACACGGTGGGAACCATGATGACTTGTGGATATGATGACCAGCGCTGTGAAGTTGGACTCATAATTGGTAATTTTTTCTGTTCACCATGAAGGGTTTTTTCCCTCTAATTTGTTGAATTGCTACAAATCTGAAGTAGGAAGGAATTTCACAATACAGGAAAGAGCAGAAAGAAAATGGAAAAAAACAATGGGTTTTCAAGCCTGGCTGCCTTCTGTAAAGCAGCTGTTTTTATGCTGATCACATTGCCATCAAATACCACAGTCCCCATTTTGTCTGGACGCAGTTGTGACCAGCATACTAAACTTTTCTGCTGACTGTATAGAAAATTACTGTGTCTGTCCAGAGAAAGCTGAATTCCCCTCATGTCTGGTCATTAGTACCATCTATGCTTTCCACAGTTTCGCCATTTTATGCACTATGATGCCTTTTATTAGACACACAGACGTGCATTTGAAAGAGAAAAAAATGTTTTTAAACAAGTCAAACCTTAGAATAATTTTAGTTTTTTTTTCATTCACTGTGAAATGATGATTTCACGGGTGCAGGTGGCCTGTATTAGCATCCTGTGCCACAGGGTTACGTGTTTGTATTTTCTTCCAAAGGCGATGTACTGACTTATTCCCAAACATGTGGACTTAAACAAAAATCACACATGGAACAAACAGTGGCTTATCCAATACCCACAGGGACGGGCACCAACGCCTGCTACATGGAGGAGATGAGGCACATCGACCTGGTGGAGGGGGATGAAGGGAGGATGTGCATTAACACGGAGTGGGGGGCCTTCGGAGACGACGGTGCTTTAGATGACCTCCGCACAGAGTTTGATCGGGAGCTGGATCTGGGATCTCTCAACCCTGGAAAACAACTGTAAGTCATCCCCTGACTGACTTGCAGTCTGAGTTCTCAGAGTGCTTTTCCAGTGTTTGCCAAGAGCCCCTTTGGAACAGAAATTGTCTTAAGTGAACTTGAGATGACTTGATGCTGGTTCTGTCTAATCCAGATCTTTCCCTTCTGGAGAGGGGGAGTACCTTTCACAGCTCCCTGCTTCAGGCCAAGGAATTGCTGCTACAGTTGCTCACATGTTGTTAAAACCAGGTGTTGCTCTGGTATGATGCTGTGGAGGGCTCAAGAGGGGAGCTGGTGAACACCTGGAATCCTTCCTGTGCTCCATTCCAGGTTTGAGAAGATGATCAGCAGCCTGTATTTGGGGGAACTTGTGAGACTCATTCTCCTAAAAATGACAAAGGAAGGTCTGCTCTTCAATGGGAAAGTGTCGACAGCTCTGCTTACTAAGGGCAAGATTGAAATGAAACACGTGTCTGCAATGGAAAAGTAAGAACTTGTAATATGTTCCTTGAGAGTAGCCACTCTCAAAGTTAGTCTTTCACTAGCACAGCAGTGATACTGAAAGTGTAGTTAAAATCTGTGAGTGCTGGAAACAATCCTGAGCTGTTCAGCATGATCTTGCTTTTGCCTAGGAGAAAAGTTGACCTTTCTGAAAGTAGGAATTGGTGTAAGATAGTTTTATCAAAGTACCACAGTAACAAGTGCACTGGTAAACAGCCCAGATGCAGGTTGTTTAAATAACCTCTCTGGAGACCTGAGTGTGTAGATTTTCAGTTTTCAGCCTCTTTGATGTGGGAATATGGGGCTGTGGAGATGTAGTACAGGTTATAGATCAGCTAATGGAGGACTGCATGGAAAACTGGGATTCTCATGTTCTGAAGAGGGATCCTGGTCCTCACTGTCACTCCAGGAATTTGTTGTATTGGGTGAAGCTGTATATCTGTTCTTGTGCTCTCCTTCTTTGGATTGTTTATCCCGTTCTCTTCTCGACAAGCTGATTGGTCTCACCAAGTGCTGAACCCCAGGAAGCAGCCTCTCTCCCCTGGGTACTTTGGGAATGCTGTGGGGAACACATTACTGGTTTATGGGAACCAATTATGATGCTGTCTGATAGGTTGTGTCGTGGTCTCCTCTCATTTCTTTTTGAGACAAAGTATTGATTTATATGTTATTGCATTTGGTGATGTATTCTTTTGTTTTGGGGTTAGGTACAAGGAAGGCCTGAGCAACACAAAAGAGATCCTTACAGAGCTGAAGCTGTTTCCCTCTGAGGAGGACTGTGTTGCTGTTCAGCACGTCTGCGCCGTCGTTTCCTCCCGCTCGGCCAAGCTCTGCGCCGCCGCCTTGGCAGCCATCCTCACCCGGCTCCGGGAGAACAAGCAGCTGCTGAGGATGCGCACCACTGTTGGGATTGATGGGGGGCTCTACAAAACCCACCCCAAGTGAGGAACTAAAGAGGATTTGATAATTGCTAAGAGCCTCCATCTGCACATGTGTGTGGTTTTTCAGAGAACTGCTGGCTTTGATTCAGCTTTGGGCTGAGGTCTAACTGGCTTAGGTATTGCCAAGCTGTTCCAGGAGCTTTAGGGTTTGGAGTGGGGTGGGAGCTGATGTTGTTCAGCCCTGGAGAAAAGGAGACTCAGGGGTGACCTAATCACTCTCTACAGCTTCTTGAAAGGAGGTTGTAGTCAGGTGGGGGTTGGTCTCTTTCTCCAGGCAGCAGCTGACAGAACAAGAGGACACAGTCTTAAGCTATGCCAAAGGAAATATATGTTGGATATTAGGAAAAAGTTTTTTATGGAAAGAGTGTTAAAGTTCTGGAATGGCCTGCCTGGGGAGGTGGTGGAGTCACCATCCCTGGATGTGTTTAACAAAGCCTGGATGTGGCACTGGGTGTCATGGTTTAGTTGAGGTGTTCGAGCTGGGTTGGACTTGATGAACTTTAAGGTATCTTCCAAACTCATTATTCTGTGAATTCTGTGAAAAACATGACACCTGAAATAATGCTGTCAGAGGAAATGCAGTTGATTTCTCAAGTGACTCCTGGGCCTCTAGGACACTTGCAGATCACTGTGGGGTTCTTTCTTTTCTTTCTCTCTTTCTTTCTCTCTTTCTTTCTCTCTTTCTTTCTCTCTTTCTTTCTCTCTTTCTCTCTCTCTTTCTCTCTTTCTCTGTCTCTCTTTCTGTCTCTCTTTCTGTCTCTCTTTCTGTCTCTCTTTCTGTCTCTCTGTCTCTCTTTCTGTCTCTCTTTCTGTCTCTCTTTCTGTCTCTCTTTCTGTCTCTCTTTCTGTCTCTCTTTCTGTCTCTCTTTCTGTCTCTCTTTCTGTCTCTCTTTCTGTCTCTCTTTCTGTCTCTCTCTCTGTCTCTCTTTCTGTCTCTCTCTCTGTCTCTCTCTCTGTCTCTCTCTCTGTCTCTCTCTCTGTCTCTCTGTCTCTCTCTGTCTCTCTCTGTCTCTCTCTCTGTCTCTCTCTCTCTCTCTCTCTCTCTTTCTCTCTCTCTTTCTCTCTCTCTTTCTCTCTCTCTTTCTCTCTCTCTTTCTCTCTCTCTTTCTCTCTCTCTTTCTCTCTCTCTTTCTCTCTCTCTTTCTCTCTCTCTTTCTCTCTCTCTTTCTGTCTCTCTTTCTCTCTCTCTTTCTCTCTCTCTTTCTCTCTCTCTTTCTCTCTCTCTTTCTGTCTCTCTTTCTGTCTCTCTTTCTGTCTCTCTGTCTCTCTTTCTGTCTCTCTTTCTGTCTCTCTCTCTGTCTCTCTCTCTGTCTCTCTTTCTGTCTCTCTCTCTGTCTCTCTCTCTGTCTCTCTCTCTGTCTCTCTCTCTGTCTCTCTCTCTGTCTCTCTCTCTGTCTCTCTCTCTGTCTCTCTCTCTGTCTCTCTCTCTGTCTCTCTCTCTGTCTCTCTCTCTGTCTCTCTCTGTCTCTCTCTCTGTCTCTCTCTCTGTCTCTCTCTCTGTCTCTCTCTCTGTCTCTCTCTCTGTCTCTCTCTCTGTCTCTCTCTCTGTCTCTCTCTCTGTCTCTCTCTCTGTCTCTCTCTCTGTCTCTCTCTCTGTCTCTCTCTCTGTCTCTCTCTCTCTGTCTCTCTCTCTGTCTCTCTGTCTCTCTGTCTCTCTCTGTCTCTCTCTGTCTCTCTCTGTCTCTCTCTCTCTCTCCCTCCCTCTCTCTCTCTCTCTCTCTCTCTCTCTCTCTCTCTCTCTCTCTCTCTCGCGCTCTCTCTCTCTCTCTCCCTCTCTCTCTCTTTCTCTCTCTCTTTCTCTCTCTCTTTCTCTCTCTCTTTCTCTCTCTCTTTCTCTCTCTCTTTCTCTCTCTCTTTCTCTCTCTCTTTCTCTCTCTCTTTCTCTCTCTCTTTCTCTCTCTCTTTCTCTCTCTCTTTTTCTCTCTCTCTCTCTTTCTCTCTCTCCCTCTCTCTTTCTCTCTCCCTTCCCCTTTCCCTTCCCCTCTCCCTCCACTACTTCCCTCCACTGTTTTTGAACCTGTGCTTTCCCAAACTTGAATCCTTCAGCTATTCTCCCAGACTGGTTGGGGCCTGATTGCAGATGGAGACAAAGCGCACCATGCCCCAAAGGCCTGTGAGAGCTGACGAAGGCCGTCTCTGCCCTGCCAGGTTCGCCGGCCGCCTGCACAGGGCGGTGGGCAGGCTGGTGCCCGCGTGCGAGGTGCGGTTCCTGCGGTCGCGGGGCGGCAGCGGCCGGGGGGCCGCGGTGGTGGCGGCGGTGGCGCGCAGGCTGGCAGCCCAGCGCCGGCGCCTCCACACCGCGCTCGCAGCCCTTCTGCTGCCCCCCGCCATCCTCTGGGAGCTGAGGGACAAGATGAGGGCTGAGCTGGAGCACGGGCTCAAGAGAGAGACGCAGGCCCAGGCCACGGTGAAGATGCTGCCCACGTTCGTCCGTGGGACGCCAGATGGAACAGGTGAGGTTAGCCCTGGAGCACCTGGAGGCAAAAGCCAGGGAATCTCCAAAAAACAGAAAGCTGGACAAGACAAACGCAGATCTGAACCAATGTGGTTAATCAAGCGTTCTCTGTTTATTCAAGATAAGGTGGTAGTTTATATAAGCTTCCACATAGTTTACAAAAACAAAGACACTCTGATTGGCAAACTAATATTGTTTACCTTTTCCTTAAAATGGCCTACACCTTACACTATAAACCTATACTAATTCACACCCAGACAACCCAGTGGTCCCCATCACACCTTAAGACTATTTCTATCTGCGCCACAAGCTCTGAATTTCTAACTGCGTCAAAGGCTTGAAGGCCCACAAGGCCCAAATCTGAGGCCTAGACTGGAGTAGCTCAAATCTCATAACTCATGTCCTCTTTCTCTCAAAAATGCTGCAACAGGAGGCAGTTCAGGAAAGTTGCTTTCTGTTTTTGGGGGGAAGGGAGTGTGCTAATTAACCTGGCACATGCCAGGGGGATTTATGTTGTCAAACCAGTGCTTCCTGCTATGTTATCTATTATCTTCAGCCCCATGCTAGTAGACTTGATGGGATAAATGCCATAGCGAACGGTGCTGTCATCAGTATGTTCTTCTGACTGGCAAATGTCAGAACAACATACCAAAATGAAATACCTTTCTTCTCCTTCAGAGAAAGGAAAGTTCCTTGCCCTTGACCTCGGTGGCACAAATTTCAGGGTTCTGCTGGTCAAAATCAAAAGTGGGAGAAGAAGATCAGTGCAAATGTATAACAAAATCTTTGCCATTCCTTTGGAGATCATGCAAGGGACAGGAGAAGAGGTAATCTTAAATGAATGTTTAACTGATCCAGCCAAGGCCCATTATATGGGATTATTTGTGAGATTTATATGCTTCTTCTTTCCTTCCAGCTCTTTGACCATATTGTCCAGTGCCTAGCAGACTTTCTGGAGTATATGGGGATTAAAGGTGCTCGTCTTCCTCTGGGCTTCACCTTCTCCTTCCCCTGCAGGCAAGCCAGCATTGACAAGGTAAGAGCTGCAGCACAGAATGGTCAGATGGCAGCTCTGCCTCTGTTTGGTAAATGACATCATTTTGGGCAAGGCTGACTTGGTGGTTTGGAGAATTTATTACTTTACTTTGCAAATCATTTGTGTTTCATGAGAAAGTTATCATCCCGTGTTATCCACCTGCCTATGGGAGACAGAACTTTCACTTCTTGTCTCTGGTAAGTGGTGGATGTGAACCTGTTTCTGTTCTATAAAGGTTAAGCCCTGATGACAACAAAATGAAGTGCAAATTTTTAATAACCCAGGAGCCTCCTTACGCTGCCTTAACTCTTCAATGGCAACAGATAACAAATAAATACTATTTTTATGAATTTCCAAGAAGGGCAGGGGATGTTGAACTGCCAAGTTCTAGTCAAATATGTAGGATATTGGGGAAATGAGAGACTGCTATTTTATTGAACGCTTTTATGTCCTGGTGGGGTTCACAATAGCTTCTAAACCTGGAAGTTAGTCTGCTCTGTCTCAGTTTTCAGCTCACTGTTGAGATGTAGCAACAGGACTTGGCCTTTTGTGGAAACTTGAATTCATATGCCTCCTAAACCCACAGCTTAGCATTTAGGTCTCGAGAAATGATAGGAAGCAAATTCTACAGTACTGATGGCAAACTGAATGAGACACATCTGTTTTCCATAATATGTTGCACTGTGTGTTTGGTCTTCTACTGTTGCTAGAACTTGAGGGTGTTTCTTAATATCCGATTTTTCTCCCAGTTGTCTTCTATTTTTTTTCCCCTTTGGACAGACAGCCCAGAGCCACTTAGGAAGTGTAAAGCTAATTACTTCATGTAACCTGGAAATCAACTTCTGTCTGGCGTGGTTGTTGTCTGAAAAGAAACAAATTAGTGTTGCCTGGAGTTGTGGGATCATACCAAATGTTCTTAAGGAAACGACCCAAAAATTAACAGTAGATGTTCATTAATGTTTGATGAATTACGACAAAAGCATTTTCCATATGAGATTTAGAAGGTACTGAGTGCAGTGCCTTGACAAAAAGCTGAGAAAACCTGGAGCCACTACCATCAGCAGTTGAGTAACAAAGATACACAAGCACAGCCTGCACTAGACACCCACAGTAACCTGTCCAGGAAAAGATGCTATTTGGAAAAAAAAAAAGCATTGGGGTGGGAGGCAAGAAAAAGCTGATGCTTGCAATGTACAGTCTGCTCTTTGTTTTAACTTACGACTTTCCTTCTCTTCTGCTTCAGGGAACGCTTGTGGGATGGACAAAAGGATTCAAGGCAACAGACTGTGAGGGGGAAGATGTTGTTGATATGCTAAGAGAGGCTATCAGGAGAAGAAATGTGAGCTATTTTTTTCTGCTCATTTTGGTGTATTTAATGCACCCTCACTCTGGCATTCCACTGCTGATCGTGACTTGTGTTTCAGGAGTTTGACTTGGACATTGTAGCAGTGGTGAATGACACTGTTGGGACCATGATGACTTGTGGCTATGAGGATCCAAACTGTGAGATTGGCCTTATTGCAGGTACAGTGATGGTCAAGTGACCTCTGTAGAGCTGGGCTTTGGGATCTGCAAGCCAGCACCTTTTATTTGAGTTTGATATACTGTGTTATTAGTTGCTTGGGGTTCTTGGCAGATTTGTGTGGTGTTCAGCAGGAAACTTAACAACATCTGTAGCAGATAAGTTCCTCAACCTGCTGGACTTTTGATCATCTCTCTGATGGTGCCTAACAAGTGTGTGCAGGGTAAAAGAATACAAGAAGATAGAGCATGAATTCTTGTTTTGACAAGTACATTCATAGTTACTGTGTAGCCAGGTCATAAGACCATGGAACAAGCAAATACTTTAAAAAATCTGAATGAATTCTTGTTGGGCTTTTTAGATTATTGCCCCAGTAGGTTCCTCTGGATTTTGATCTAGAAATATATCTAAGCATAGAATCACAGAATGGCCTGTGTTGGAAGGGACCTTGAAATTTGAGATGTGGCAAAGAGAGCTTTAAGATGAGCACTGCAATCATCTTCCATAAGTTTCTGCTGCTGCTTCACTTTTACAGCTGAAGTCTTGTAATTTCTTTCCTTCTAGGAACAGGCACCAATGTTTGCTACATGGAGGACATGAAAAACATAGAAATAGTGGAAGGGAATGAAGGAAAAATGTGTATTAATACAGAATGGGGAGCATTTGGTGACAATGGCTGCATTGACTACATCAGGACAAAATATGATAGAGAAGTAGATGAAGGCTCATTAAACCCAGGGAAACAGAGGTAAATGTGATGGTCCTGATGCCAAGAACCTGATAAAGTCAGTCTTTGAGAGACACTGGCTGCTTTTTAAAATGTGCTTAATGAATGAATAATCAAAAAGGAAATTTTAATATTGCATTTTTTTTGTTGCTTGGTAAGTAACCTAGATATATTAAAAAAAAAAAAAACAAAAGAAAAAGAAAGAAAAACAAAAAAATCAAAGACCTACATTATTACCACAGCACTGTTTTCATCTTAAAGCATTACCAAACAGTGCAGCTTTTAAGATTTCCCTGCAAAGTCTAGGTCATACTTTATTCCTCCTCTTAGGGTGATTTTTCAAAGGCAAAATACAACTCAAGCTTGTTGGGTAAAGACAGTATTGATTAGATGTAACTCACTGTTGAATGCATTCGGGGACAGGGAGGAGTTTCACTTCAGTGTGGACTCTGACTTTAACATTATATTCTGCTTAATATTGCAAGGATTTTTTTCTACTTCTGTTGCCATTTGGCATAGGTAAGTATATTGTAATTAATGTTTGCACTTGAAGTCACTGCAACAGATTTTTGATTATTGAAAAATGGAGTTTAATGGCTATTGCTCTGAAGCTTGGACTGCCTTTTTTTTGCGTTCACAGGGCATGTACACACTCCTCATGCTAAACAGAGCCATCTCTTTAAATGAACATTTTTATTCCTCTTTTGACCCAACAGGTATGAAAAGATGACCAGTGGAATGTACCTAGGTGAAATAGTAAGGCAAATTTTGATTGACTTAACCAAACAAGGGCTGCTGTTCAGAGGACACATTTCGGAATCTCTCAGGAAAAAAGGCATATTTGAAACAAAATTCCTGTCTCAGATTGAGAGGTAAAGTTGTTAGATTTATGTGGTTTAAATCCTTAAAGTCTTCTGGGATACCTAGAAAACAGTCTTTTGCAAGTGTGTGGAGCTCTTTCCTTCAAGAAGTCATTTAAGTCAGCTAGAGTTTTCTTCTTTGTGCATCCCCCACCTCCACAATAAAACTTAAAAATAAGAAACTGGGGAAGTTACAGAATTACTGTTGTAATTATATGAATTATCATTTCCTTTCCACATCCTGGGTTATCTTGGATAATGATGGCCTTAGCCATCAAGCTAAGTGTTTCTTGTGGGACTTCAAATAGCACTTATTTAAGAAAGCAAGAAGTCAGTGATACACAAATATGTGCATACCCATATATCTGTACATGATTACAATGGTCTCTAGGCTATTTGAAACTTTCTGCTGTGGAAAGCCTCAAAAGGAGTGTCTGAGCTTTGAGATCTGCAGTAGCAGTCCCGTGGCTTATCTGGCTCTGCTCCCTCATGGCTTTGGGAGTTAGGTGGATGATTACTGCTTGTGCCTCCCGGAGATGCAGCCTAACATGGCAAAGGGCATGGCAGGAGCAGCTTTTCCATCTGAATTCAGGCAGAAACCAGCCTTGAAAGAACTGGAGAGTTAGAGCTGAAGTGGTCCCGTTTCCCTTGGACCACAGCTGTGTCAGCTCTGGCGCTTTCCCTGACCGCTCCGTGTGCTCCCGCAGGGACCGGCTCGCCCTCCCGCAGGTGCGGCACGTCCTGCGGCAGCTGGGCCTGGACAGCACCTGTGAGGACAGCATCATCGTCAAGGAGGTGTGTGCAGCTGTTTCAACAAGAGCTGCCCGGCTCTGTGGGGCAGGCCTGGCTGCTGTTGTGGAGAAGAAGAGGGAGAACCAAGGTGTGGAGCGCTTGCAAATCACTGTTGGAGCAGATGGGACTCTGTACAAGCTCCATCCGCAGTGAGTACCTTGGTACCTCTTCCCTTTGCTGTTTGCTTGTTTTCACTGTGAAAACATACCTGTACCAGCTTTCTGCTGAGGTGATTAAAAACCTGAGAGGGGGTAAGGATCCAACACATTTCACTGCATTTTGTCATTTCATTTCCCTTTCCTAGCCATTGGATCAAAAATTGTAAAGTCAACCCCAGTTACCACTGGGAGGCTCTTTTCTCGGTGATGTTGAGTGAACCTAATACTTATTTTCCAGTGTTTTGGTAGATTTCAAAAATATCTGAGTCTCCTAGATGGAAAGCAGTCTTGAGTTTTTGGAGGTGGGTCAGCATTCTGTGAGCAAGGCCTAGAAATAGATGCATTAGCTTTTGAGTTGGGAGAAGAGAGCCTCCTTCATGATCTCTGAAGATGTGGGCAGTGTGTGGCATCATGCTGAACAAAATTCAAGCAGAGAAATAAAAATTAGAATCTGATTGTGTACAGAAATTTGTATTTTTCATGAATAGGAGAAAAAGCAAAAGAAAGCAATGGCTGAGGTTCCTTGCATTATAGGTGAGTACAAAGATCTCAGCTCAGAAAGCAGCTGCTTAAATATTCTGTTCTTCTCTCCCTTCCCTTCCAGTTTTTCTAGGATCCTGCAGGAAACAGTGAAGGAGCTGGCCCCTCAGTGTGATGTGAGTTTCATGCTTTCTGAAGATGGAAGTGGGAAGGGAGCTGCCCTCATTACTGCAGTTGCAAAAAGATTGCATAATGTTGGACAGAAGTAGAAATGAGTGGTCAGGTAATTTCAGCCTGCCAGGCGTGTGCAGCAGGGGTTTGCTGAGTGGTGGTTCCAGATAGCTTTGCCAGGTACCAACACACAGGTACCTTCTTTTGAGGAGCAGCTGGTTCTGACCAACCAGGATTGTGGAGTTTTGGTAACTTGGGTTAAGTGTTTCTGCTCCCCACTGCCATTATGTCTTGGCATACCACAGTCTACTCAGTTCTGTACTTCCTGCAATGCATCTCCAATGCACATGGGAGAGTGAAAACAAAACAAAATCAACCCAAATGTGTCTTTTTACAACATCTTAATTAAGCTACTGTACCACAACTGAGTTTATCACCAGTTTCTTAGGATTCGTGTGCTTAGTTTTGTCTTGCCCTGGCTCAAAGAATATTGAGATTATGATGTTGCATCTTATCTAGTGGACATATTTGTTCAATGCTTCACAGGTTTTACAATAAATTTGCAGGTGAAATAAATGAATGGACCTTTGGTCAGTGATGCTCCCCCGCTGCTGCACTGGTTGCAAGTGTAATACAATATTTCCCTGAGGACAGGAGGCATGTTTAATAGATGAATGTAAAGGAAAGCAATGTGATTCCACAGAATATCAGTTTGTGTCAAAATATGTCAGTGCATCTGAGTCACATAAAGCTAAACCAATGCTGCATGGATTCTGACTGTGACTGATTCTTTTGATACTGAAGGAAACAGAGAATGTAGAAGGAGCTACAGATCTGCAATGTCTGTGTCAGGGCTACATAGAGGGTATCAAACAGGCCACCAAAACTGTGTAGAGGAAAAAAAAAAATCACCTAAATTTCTGAAAGTCTCCTCTTTTGTTTTCCCTCTGTTATCTTCTTGCATGTTCCTGAGAGAATTGTTTCTATTTTGTGCAAAGGAGTTTATCCTTGGTTTTTATTTTCTGTTGCCTGCTGCTCTGCCCGTTTGTAGTTTGTAAATAAATCTGTGTTGTTGTGAGCCTTTGCTTCTCTGTCCAGTGTATCATCTGATTTGTGGGAAGAACATGCAGACAAGTGGGAGCTTTCTTAAAACCTAACTCTTTAAACCTAAACCTTTCTTTAAATATAAATCTGTAAGTGGTACACAGCAGCACTTCAGATTGTGAAGGGGGTTTGTGGATAGAGCTTATAGTCTTGTGTGACCAAATGTCCCTGACCTGATTTACCCAGAACAAACCAAAACAATAATATTGTACAGAGAAGCTGCAAATCTGTGTCCTCTCTTCTCAAGTATTCCTGTATCCTTTTTAATCCTCTCTTTGTGGGTATTTGCTTCCTTGTGGGCTGACAGCAGAAAGTGGGGCCAAGAAATGTGCTTTAAGCCTAGTTAGGTCAAAAGTAACTGTGGTGCAAGGGGATAAGCAGTTGGGTTTATGTAATAATTTGTAACAAGGCTGCTGCTGGGTTTAAATTTAGCAATCACAAATTCAAAATTGGAAGCTTCAGACTTCTGCTGTTTTGTAGTTTTTAAAAAAACCAAAATGTGTCAACAGCTCTGTTGTCAACAGCTCTGTGTCTGTGTTGGAGTTACTGGATGGGTAGAAGATACTTGCAAATAATTTTCACTTTTGAAGGAATTCCTCATGGTGCTGAGCTTGCTATACCAAGCAGTTGGGAAGGGAAAAGTTGTGAAATCATATCAGACTTTATGTTTTTCTCCTTTTGTCAAGAAACTTAGTATTTTACTTTTTATTTTAGAATCCACAGAGCTACAGGAACCAAAGCTTCTTATGTAGTAAGGGCAGTTATCTGGAATGGAAGTTTGTTGCTGGTGATAAACAGGTTAAATCTGGAGGGATTGGGTGTAGAAGAAGAAAAGAATCAGATACAGAGTCTATGTGGGGCCTGGAATAGCTCTTCTAAGCTATTTTAGGCCCCAAAAGGAGAAGCAGGTGTTTTGTCACATGAAATCTTGTACTATCTGTGTGGTTTTGGGCCTTTTTGGGGGAGTGGATTCTACAGAAGTTCACCTGTGAATGAAGTATGTCCCTGTACATCTGAAATGAGGTGATGCAGACTTGCCCCACGATGCCCCAGACTTTTGCCCCACGATGGCCTTGTATGATGCAGAACACATTTTGTACTTTTATTCTAAAGCCTATTCTGCACAATTGGAATGCGAATCAGTAACAAAACAAGGTAAAACCCTCACATATAGAAATAAATTCTATCTTGCTTTGATTTTTCTTTTTAGTCTTTTTGGGAAATACTCACACCAAGTCAGTTTACACCTCAGCTGCAGTTATTCCTTTTCCTGTAGTAGATTAGGCCCACACAATAATATTGTCTTGCATATGCAGCTTTTTTCCCCCAGTGAGTCTGTGGGTGTAGTGGAATCCAATCACATGGACCTGAAACTGCTCACAAAGTGCTCAGCAGCTCTTGCTGAGCTCCCTGAGGCCCAGCCATGATGCTCCTGCCTTTGCTGCAGGCAGCTCCCACACATCTGGCCCCATGCACATCTGGGCAGGGAAATGGCAGCTGAGCTGGGAGGGGGGCAATGAGCAAAGCTCGCATCCTGGAGCAGGGCAGGATTGGCCACTGTGGGATTTTACCAGGAATGCAACCTTCACTCTTGACTTGGTTTGAAAAGCCAGCTCTCTGCTAAGGAAGGCAGGAGCCTCCCTTGAAATGGAAAATGTAACCCCCCTCCCTCTGGATTATTATAATTTTGAAATTAAGGGGCTCTCAGGCAAAGATATTGGGATAGGAGTAACAGTTCTTTACTAGGAAAATTAAAAATACAAATGCAATAGTACAAACAAACAAAAAAAAAACCCAAAAAATAACCCCAAGCAATACTGCCAGAGTCAGAGCAGGCCCTGGCAGCCCAGCTTGTGGGTCAGGGAGGTGGCAGCAGTCCCATCCCAGGGTGGCTCAGCCCTCCTGCAGTGCCAGCTGTGCTTCTGCTGGAGCAGGATCCTGCACAAGGGGGGAGTTTTCCTCTGGAGCTCCAGGGCTGGGGGAGATGGGCCTGGGCTCCTCTGGGGATGCAGTGGGGAAGAAAGCTGCTCCTCTGGGAATGCAGTGGGAAGAAAGCTGCTCCTCTGGGAATGCAGTGGGGAGAAAGCTGCTCCTCTGGGAATGCAGTGGGAAGAAAGCTGCTCCTCTGGGAATGCAGTGGGCAAAGGCTGCTGTGCTGTTCCCAGGTCAGATTGGATCCAGGTAGGAATTCTTGGCTCCTCCCCTGGGCAGAGCATCTCCCCATGGATGATGGAATTTTCTCAGCCATGCAGGGACACTCGGTGGCCATGAACAGCAGAGATCTCCTGGAGGGGGATTGGTTGTGGGAGAGATAAAGAAACTGCCCAAAGAACAGGAGAGAACTGCTCCACCTCTGACAGATGGTGATAGAACACATACCCAGCTACATCTTCCAACCTAAAACAACTCCTGGTTTCGAAGACATCCCATAAACATGCAGTGCTTTGGCTTTCTCCAAACTAGAACGTTCTCCATCTGGGTAAGGATGCAGCAGCAAGTTCCTGGTCATGTCAACACATGGAAACTCAGGGACTGGTGCAAACTTGCAGTCTCTCTTGTACAGATATTAAACTGCTGCAGCACAACACTTCCCTGCCATCTGTGCCATCAGGTGTGGTGATTCAGTTTAAAGCCCCAGCTCACAACAAAAGTAGAGACCTTTTATTAAATGTAAAACAGAATATGCTGTGCTGAACAGGATGTGCTACAGATCATCACGTTACATTGTTAGCAAATATAAAATAAAATGGGATTGTTCCGGTCTCACATCTTAGATTTTTGTTTTTCTACTTTTACTTTTCTACTGCTTCCTGGATAGCTTTGTGATGCTTCATTTCCACCTGCCTTCCCTCCAGTTAATACATTTAGTGCTTGAATTTATCAATTTTGTTGTGATACTTCTTTAAGACATTAACATATTTTTTTCACATCTAGGTGATACATGTAATTTGGAAAGCTGAAAGATCTTTAAATCACAGGTGTGACAGAAGTATTTCTGAGACAAGGAAATAAGGTTTATGTCTTTCAGAAATTCCCAGGAGATGATTGCAGTTACCTTTGCATCCATGGGGAAAAAATAATCCTAAATATCTTGTGTTGCCAGATAGAGACACATTTTGGTGGCTGTATATTTGGATAGTGCTGGTCCTTGATTCATAAACCATAAGAGAAAATGCAGTAGCAGCTCAGTGGTGACATATTCCCTTTGTCACTCTGACAAAGTTCAAAAGTAAATATAGGATCATGTGGAAATCCTTCAGAAATCCTGATTAGCATGATCTCCCTTCTTGAGAAGTCAATATTATATAGGATTAGCAGATTAGTAAAGGAGTTTGAGGCTGACATGTAGGTAATACCAAAATGAAAGTATTGTTCCTTCCATCTTTCTTGATTTGCTTCTTTGTGCTTGGTGAAATGAACTGGCTTGGGTTTGAGGTCACCACAGGAATTAGGTGGAGGGAGAGCAGGAGACTTGGTCAATGTTGTCCTGTTCTAGGTAAATTTAGAGTTTCCCTGGAAAGGACCACCACTGCCTTGAACTGACATTGCAGACTCATCCAGAGCATTTCTCAGACTTGTAAAGTCAGTAGCTTGTCAAGGGATAAATACACAGATATGGATAAAACAATAATAGAAGGGATCTATTCCTGCACACAGGTGGCCTGTTGAGGGGAGAGGAGGAAGGGCAATAAGGTAGATGTCTTCTTTGTCCCAGCACTGAATCCATGCTGCACAGCTGATGCAGAAAGCAAGATGCAAAACCACCAGAATTTTAATTAATGTTTTCCTTTCTCTCATTGATACTATCACCTTGCAGGTGCACACTAAAGGTGCTGTAAACATGATGGGTCATGTCTGTCTGAGAGGGGAATGCCAAAATAATTTTGATCTTGTTGTGTGCTTTTTTAACACCATCCAGATACCAGCCCCATCCCTGTTCATTGCATTTCATCTGCTCTCTTGTCTTTGGGGGCCTCACACAGCCCAGGCACCTCTAGAGTCAGGAAAAGCTGAGTTCTGTGAAGAGAGAACAGATTTGGGTTCCTCCAGAAAGCCCTTCCTACTGGCACAAGGAATTTGCTACAGGAAAATGGACAAAGGGCTCCAGGTGAAAGGATTCCTGTGCAGGAGTTGAAGAACCAAATGTTGGGTGATCTTGGCAAGCAGCTAGGAGGAGTGGAAAAAGGTCCTTTAAGTCTTGATCTTTCCTGACTTAAAAATCACAAACCTAAAACAACTCAACCCTTCCAAAACAACACAAATTCTTGTTTTTATCTAGAAAAGTATAAGTTAAAACCAGACAAAAACCAAACCAGAGCTATATAAAAAAAAAATCAAAACAAAAAAAAAACAACAAACAAACAAACAAAAAAAAAACAACAAAAAAAAACCCCAAAAACCAAAAGAGATGGAGGGAGACTGAGTCTGTTTCACTGCCACTATATTTTGTTTTCTTCTTTTGCTGGAAAGGAGAAGAGGGGGGAGAGGTGTGAAGAGTATGGCACATCAACAATTAAAGCTTCCCCATAAATTTGTTACTGCATATTAGAAAAAGTTTAAAGTAAGTCTTAATAGTGAGAAAAGGGATGACAGCAGTGCAAGGTGTGAAACGTTAAGAGCTGTTAATTACAAGGACTGTTCAAGGGAATTAACTGAGTGAAGTGATTAATGTGGTTATTGTTAATGGAGGGGAGGCACTGGGGTTATTCCATTTTATTTGGACTTGGGGGTGAGATGTAGCTCCCAGCTTCAGGCATTTAAGAACAGGGTTCTGTTCTCAAACCCACCTGTGTTACTGATTCAGTTTCCTTTTCTGAGGGTTGTTTTTGTTCTTCTCAATTTGCTGCTTGTATGTTCAGCTTTCTGTGCACGGGGGAAGCCCCGTTCCCATCGGGCTGTATTGGCCAGGGATGCTGGGCCACCTGCTCAGCGGTGGGACTGGGACTGCTGCCTGCCAGCCTGTTGGAGAGGACT